CCCGACGTTTCAATCTCGACCTTGCTGCCGACGCGAGCACCCGACCCAGCTCTCTGGTCCCCGCTTGCCGGTCCCCCCCGCCCCACTCCCTTGCACTCTTCAGCACGGTGTAAAATGCAGGTGAATGGCTACACTGATCCCTTTTAACCGTCTACATCATGGGAGCAAGGGGAGGAGGCTGCAGCTTGCCCTGCCATGGAGGGGAGGACACGGGGGGCTCAAAGTCGGGGGGTTGCGGAGGGATGTTTTGACAGTGGCACGATCAGGGGCTAAATCGTCTGGTGGTGGAAATCAGCTCCCTGCTCTTTTTTTTTTTTATTATTAAATTTTTTTGTATTCCAGGCCAAGTTAGACAAAACTAATTCCAAATCCAAGAGTTCACACCCATAAGTGGCCCTAGTACCACCGGCAACCATCCTCCACCCCCATCTGGGGCTCCAGAGGTTTCCAAAACCATTGGCGGGCGTCCTATGTGCAGGCACAAGCCCGGAGGCTCGGGGTTCGGATGCCCCCGAGCTTTGCTTGCCCTCAGCCGCACGGCCCTCAGAGCAAGCCAGGGAAAAGTCTCCCATTTCCATAAAGCCAAGATCTTCCCACTGCAGCAGCTAAGTGGGAGGTTTATTATATGTTACCTTGGCAGATACTATCCCCGTGCTAGGACAGCGGTCTTCCCCGGGAGCCGCTAGGAAGACCACCTCCATGGTTGTGGTGTTTCCCTTGCCAGGCAAGCATAGACTATGCTTCAGCTGAGCCTTCAAGAGGCTCTTTTACACCAGCTGGGGATCCGCCCCATTGGCCCCCGCGGGCACGTGCCAAGTGACACGCAGCAGGATCTAGCTGCAGATCTCCGTCCCGCTGCAGATGGTGATGGAGAGAGGAGGTGGCAGCAGTCGACAGACGGCAAGGTCCAGTGAGGAAGCAGGAACGGACACCTGGGCTCCACTCCTGCCTCATGGTGCAGCATTGCACAAGTCACTTGGCCCTTCCCTGCCTCAGTTTCCCTGGTGCGCGCACACAGAGTACAACTGCAGCACCGCACCCCCACGGCACCCGAGGCTTTCAAAATGCTTTCCTTTTCCGAACTAGAAGGGAAGCCTGGGGCTCCTGGGTTGTCTCTCAGGCTCTGGCTGAAATACAAGTAGTTCACAAGTTACTCCAGAATGGGCTGCGGGGTGCAGGGAGAGGCCTCTCTCACTGCAAACCTTGCACCCCCTGGTTTTCCGGTCCCTGGGCCACACTGGATCACCCGCTGTCACTACACCAAGGGTCTGCAGGACAAGATGCTTCCCCAGGGGCATCTACCTGGCCCCAGTAGCATCAATGGGTTTGCAAAGCGGCGATTAATGAGCTCTTTAATGGGGGCAGAGGGTGGGCAAAAAAGAAACCGACTCTGGCCCTTCCTCCAGTCCATCCCAGAGCTGCGCGGGTACCCAAAGCACAAAGAGAAACCAGGTTTCATAAATGTGAAGGGACCTTACAGATCATCGGGTCCAGCCCCCCCACACTTGGGCAGGAGAGACTGCTGAGCCACCAGCCCCAACGGACATCCCTGATCCCACACGAAGGAGACGGCTGCGCAGGCACCTTGTGCTGCGCCAAGCGCTTTGGAGGGCACCGCTTGGACCCCCAGGGCCTCAGGTTTGGCCTCTGCAATCAGAGGGGCCTGGACAAGAGGGAAAATCCAAGCTCTTTGCAGGAGGAAAGGTTTTGCCACTGAAGCAGGTGGAGGGAGGGAGGCTGCAGGGAGTCTGCACTCGGATGCACGGAGGCAGGAAAGCGCCGTATCGACACATTCCAGCGCATCGCCGGGTGGATGGACGGCTGTGCCATCACCGATCGACTAACGAGCTGCAGCCTCCCAGCTCATCGGGCGGCAGGAATCTAGGTCAGCCGGCTCCCCTGCAGAGAGCGCCTGACCCCTCCCGGTGGTGGGAGGCGGAGGCCGCCAAAACCACCTTGCTGGCACGGTCGTCCCCCAACAGCGTACCCCATTTTGCACATCCTGCTGCACCTGCAGCTCCCATCACCCAGGAGCCCCAAGCACCAGACGTGCCAGGTGGCTGAATCCCATCGCTGAGAGCACCAGTGCCAAGACCAAAACAAAGCCTCCAGGGTGGCCCTAAATGCCCGTCACATGTGGGGCAGGTAGGATCTCAGTGTCTGCATCCCCTGCACAAACAGGGAGCATAGGCCCACGTTCCCTTGTCAGGACTGCATGCATGGGAGCATGGTGGAAGGGAAGGAGAAAAGGGCTGCCCCCAAGACCGAAGGGTGCTGGGTTCATCCATGCAGACCTGGAGCTGTGCCATGCCCCCCACACCCAGGGGGCAAGTCTGCTCTGGTGCATTAATCCCCCTCACTCAAGTCTGCTCTGATGCATTGAAGCTGTGCCATGCCCCTCTCACCCAGGGGGCAAGTCTGCTCTGGTGCATTAATCCCCCTCACTCAAGTCTGCTCCGGTGCATTGGAGCTGTGCCATGCCCCCCTCACCCAGGGGGCAAGTTTGCTCTGGTGCATTCATCCCCCTCACCCAAGTTTGCGCCGGTGCATCGGAGCTGTGCCATGCCCCCCTCACCCAGCCAGCTACCCTGCTTTCCTGGCAGTGCCCCTGCTTCTTCCCAAACCCTCTGAGGACCTGGACCATCTTCTAGGGGACCTGCATCTTTTTCATTAATTGCTCGAGAGTCAGGAGCAGTAACAGCATATAAAGGCCTCTGCTAAAAGCATCTGCTTCTCTTTCTCTCCAACCCCCTCTAGTCCCAAGACAGGGGTGAGCTCCAAGTCCTACCCCACCGCCAAGCCTGGGGCAAAAAGAACGAAAAAGAGGGCTGGTGCTGGAAGACAACCCACAAGCACCCACGTAGCCAGGGTGCCAGCGTGGCTCGGGCTCTGCCAGGATGAACCTCAAGCCCACCTTGGCCCTGGGGATGCGATACCAAGCCCAGCACGCAGAAGGGGCTGGTCTGCTTGCCCTGTTCCCCCAGCAAACGCAGTTTGCTGGGACCGAGCGGGGGAAGCCAAGTTAATGAACAGCCTCAGAGTGAACGCAGCCCCCTCTCCACCTGCTCCTGCAGCCGAGAGCCATTTCCCATCGAAGAGCAGCCCGTTAGGTGCGCGGGGAGGCCGGGCGGGAGACGCGCGGTCCCACACGAGCAGCAGAATGAAATGGGGGTGGAGGCCAGCAGGAGCCGGGAGTGCACTCAACCCAGAAAAGCCCCACGGCGTTAAAGGCCTTGCAGGCGCGGCTCCTGCATTAGGTGCCGAGCAGGAGCGGGAGCGGACCCGTTGGGGCGGCAGCAGAGATGTCCGGCAGACATCACCGCAGCAATGGCACCGTGCACGATGGGGCTGCGCCTGTCCCGGATGCTCACCTTTCCCCCGGTGGTCGCGCCAGAGCCGGAGCAAGCGAGATTGCAGGGTCTGGCCCCTGTGCCGTGCACTAGCCCCCAGACTCAGCCCTGCAACTCTGCAGCAGTGTCTGAGACGGGGCCGGCTGGGGGACACAGAGGATCAAGCTGCTCCTCGGATGAAGGTCTTCACTCACCTGCGAGTCGTTTCCTGACACTCTCCTGGTCCCCTGCCTCCCAACATCCCTCTGGCTCGTGGGCCCCGCAAAGGGACCAGTATCTCTATAGCCACCCCTGCCACCCCCGGCGGGGATGATTGTTCACCCCCCTTGCAGAGGCTCCTTCAGAAATTGGACCTGGATGCTTTTGGCTCTCACCCTGACACCTAGTCGTGCCCTGGGTGCAGCGCTGCTCCAGCTCCTGGCAGCCGCTCCATGCACAGCTGCTGCCCGAGCGATGCCGGGAGTTGTGCGAGCCCCCCAGGAGAAGGGGAAAGAAATGAGGCTCGCCATCCCAGCATGGTGGCATCAGAGCAGGACTGGAGAGGGGTAAAACCTCCTCTGCGATGTCTTCCCCACCCCCAGCTGCTCCCCAGGGGCTCCTGGCTATCCCTATTCTGGAGCAGCACTGGGCATTGCTCGGGGCACAAAGTGAGAGGCACCGAACAGGCAGCGAGCGGCAGTACCTGAGCCTTCAGGCTGGCAGCATCCAGCACGGTGACTTGGTTGGCACAGCTGGCCCACAGGGTGTCATCCAGGGTCAGGAGGACCCTCACCGGCCCGGTCCCCACCTGCAGACAGGTGGGCTTCGCCTCCAGATCCCACAGCCCCCCTGCGGGAAGAGAGAGAGGAGAAGAGTCAGACATGGGTCCAAATACACTAGAGGAGTGGGGGAAAAAAGCACCTGCTCTGAACCGGCCACCCAGACCTTTGCTCCTGGGATTTGGTACCCCAAAACTCCCTGTGCGAAAGAAGTGCAGGGCACCGGAGCTGGCCAGAGCCCTGGCTGATGGAGTCACGATCCCCTGGACCCATTGCTCCCCTCCCTCGGCACCCCAGAGCATCTGCAGCTGCTGCTTACATGGCAAAGTCGCAGGAGGAAGGGACTCGGCATAGTAAGGGCTCCTTTCAATTAGGCTGAACGGCTGTGGACGAGCAGAAATCCAGGGAGCACGGGCACAGGCCACGGTTTGGGACGCTCTGACATCCCATCACTGCTCAGGGGAGCTCCCACCAGAGGCTGCAAAGCCAGGCTAACGTCAGGGTGGACAGGCTGGGATTAGCCTGCTGGCAGCTGGCTCGGGAGACCTGGCTTCTCCTTCTCCCACGAATCGAGCGCCGCTTGACGCTTCAAAATACCCTCACTGCTGCAGCCAGACAAAGACACGCATCTCCCTTCCCTGCAGCAAGGCGCATGCTGTGGCCCCAATACGATGCATGGGCTATTTATAAATTGGTGGCCAGGTGCGGGCAGTCTGGGATCGCCCTCTGACCGAGGCCAGCAAGGCAGCACCTTCTGCTTTCAATCCTGCAGCACCCGCACCGGAGCACCCTTGCAGCTGGGGCAGCCTCAGACACGCAATGAACCCATTTGCTCTCCTCTCCCCTGGCACCCCACGGGCACAGGGATGGCTCAAGGGGGGATGTTGCACCAGGCAACAGGCTTCGGCAGCCTCTCGGCAGAGCCCGTGGGAGCGGGCTGGCGCGTGCCGGGCTGTTAATTTCATGAGGCTCCATAAACCTGATCTCCTCCCAGCCCGGCACACCGACGGGCACTGCTCATTATGCAAACCAAGCCAAAGAGAGAGGGATGTGGGGGTGTGGAGGCAACGGACAGGGCTGGAGGCAAGGAAGGAGGTCATAGAAGCTAGGGCTAGGGGGCTGGGAAAGGGAACGGGTCTTTAAATCAGCATGGATGGCACGCATTAACATGCACATGCAAATGCGTGCCCTCCCAGTTACAGACACCATGGCAGTAGTGCATTCACACACACACACATCCACCCCTTCCCAGTTAAAGGCACCACAGCAGTGGTGTGCAATGTGCACGCATACACGCAACCCCCAACACCCATCCCCTCCCAGTTAAAGACATGACGGCAGTAGTGTGCATGTGCACCCCCACCCCATACTTTTCCAGTTAAAGACACCTTGGCAGGGGTGTGCACAGACACACACAGCTACCCAGTTAAAGATACCATAGCAATGGTACCCCCCCCCCCCAAATTAAAGACACCACAGCAGTGGTGTGCACACATGCACTCACATGCACACAGACCCACCCACCCCCTCCCAGTTAAAGGCAACATGGCAGGGCTGTGCACACACACATATGCCTACCCAGTTAAAGTTACCATGGCAGTAGCACACACACACCCCCACTCCCTCCCAGTTAAAGGCAACTTGGTAGGCATGTGCAGTTGTGCACAGACACACACCTACCCAGTTAAAAACACCATGGCAGTGGTATACACGCACACACCCCCTCCCAGTTAAAAGCCACCATAGCAATGGTGTGCACCCCTGCACACACATGTCCTTCCAGCGGCAATGGCATTGCCACAGCTCCTAATTCGGGCGCTTTGAAATGCGACTGAGCCGACAGAACTTGGCACAAAGCTTTCGCGAGCTGCACGGGGCCCTCCCGAGCCCTTCACCATCACAAGGCCCGGGCTTTCGTTAAGAGAAACGAAACCGCCTCGGCTCTTTCATCAGGGCGTCACACTGCGCCAATTCTCCCCACCAAAAGCGTGGCAGGAACGACCTCTCCCGCCCCGAGGATTTTCTGATCTGTGGCCTCTGCTGCAAGTCGACCTGCTCCGCGCCCGTGTGATGCGGACCATGAAAAGATCCCTTTTTTTGCTTCCCCGACCTGCATTATAGGCTGCTGCACAAATGAGCTAGCAATGAGGCGGGCGGCACTGGGAAGCGGGTACTTCCAGGAAGCTCGCATGAAAGCGACTCCGGGCGGTGGATCAAACTGGAGGCCGAAGGAGAAGATACGTACGCATCTGTTCCACGACCAAGCGGCACGCCGGGCTGCGCGTGGCATCCCACACTTCAGCCAGGTGCCAGGCTGGGAGGCCGACCCCTTAATGCTTCGTGCCACAAGCTGACCAGCCTCCAAGAGGGTCACCCCCATCCTGGAGAGCCGAGAGAGAGGTAAACCCCCAGAGCCCTGACCTCTTGGAAAGGCAGGTCAGGCCCGGCTGTAGCATGGAAGAAATACCAGTGTGCTCCAAGAGGAAGGGATCCCACTTCAGGGTTGCTTCAATACAAGCCTACCTGTGGTGCAGACAGGGGGCTGGGGTCCTCTAGGAACTATAAGCCCTCTTCAACAGCTAGCAAGTCATGTCTTGGGACAACCCATGATGAAGCAGGGAAAGCAGCAAAGGGTAATAGCCGGGGTGCCAAGGAAGGACACAGAGCAGGGCCTGCTGCTCCCCAGAGACATCCAGCGGATGTTGTCCAGTGAAACCCTGCACCGACAAGGGAAAAAGACGACGACCCTACAGGCACGAGGGTTTTCTCTGGCCAGCATCTCCTTCCTGGTCAGATAAATCAAACAGCTTGGCCAAGGCAAGGAGGAGGTTGACCAGAAGGCCCTGGGATTTCCAAGGGCTATGGATATGGCATGCATAAATGCAGTGGCAAAAGGGAAAAAAAGTGCAACTGGTCCTCAAGAAGATAGCACCATCCCAGCACCAAACCCTAATTCCACCATTGCAGTGGATCTACCCCCAGTCCTCAAAACCTGGCTGAGATACAGGCAGGACGTTCTCAAACCAAGCGCCTCCGCAACTTGCGCCGGGTCATTTCTTCTGCCGATGCCTCCCGTTTCTCGCCCTGCACAGAATTTGCTGCTCTCCAACCTGTCCTTACAAGGTCACGCGGCAATTGCTGCAAATAACGCTCCCCCCGTAGCTCCGCCACAAGCAGCTCCTTGCGTTAGATGCTTTCAAAATTCACACCGTGCTGAGCAGACACAGATGCTACGGCAGGGTTCGACTCTGACTCCCCAAACGGGTGAGCGTAGCTCCTCGAATCAGGTTGCTGGCGCAGGTCTTCCTGAGTGTGAAGCTAATAGGCACTTGCTGCAACTATTCACATATTTTATAGCCCAAAAGAAATGCCTCTGAGCTGCCAAATACTCTCTGCAAAGCTCAGAGCAGAGAATTTCCCCCCAGTCATTTCTGCAGTGAAGGAAATGCTCTCCTGCTACCGAAGTGACACCACAGAGCCAATTAATTGCTGGCTGAACTGGAGTGCTTCTCTTAGGAAGACAGGCCATTGCGATTTCAAGCTTGCCAGTGATGAATGCACCACCACCATCTAACTGTTGCAATAGCTAATTACCTTCACTTAAAAATGTGCCTTTTGTTTCCAATATGATTTTTTTTTAACTTTGGCTACCACACACTGGGTCTTATGCCTGCATCTGCTACATTAAAGGGCCCTCTAACATCAGAGATCTTTTCCTCAGCACCTATAAATTGCAATCAAGTCACCTCTTCACCTTGCCTTTGATAAGCTAATGATCCTAATCTATTGAAGTCCCTCACTGTAAGGCCTGCTCTCCACACCTCCGATGGTATTGGAAGCCCTCTGAACTCTTCTGCAAGAAAAAAATGAGCTGGTTTGGGAAACTTTCCTTCTAATTAAAATGTACAGCGGCCTCGTTACCTTTAACCCCCCTTGCCTGTGTGAATTTTCAAGAGCACTTATGGAAATGGGTTTCCTCCTGCCTTCCTTACCAGCCCTCATCAAGGGGAACGTGCCAACACGCTCTGCCAGCAGCTCTCGCTCTCTCCTGTATGCAGAGGAACGGGCCAAGGGATATCACGAGCAATTCAGGAGGTCGCTTCAGCAATTTCCATGGGTTCGAAAGACGGAGCTGATGTGTCTGGTCATCACTCTGACCGCGCCAGTGAAGCTGCCCTGGTCTCCACCAGATGGAGAGTTGGCCAGCCCCCGCGTAGGGCACTCTTAGGAGGAGCCTACAGCCAGCCCTTCTGGCACGGATCAGCTGGCGAGCACTAAAACAGACGCTTGCTAATTCCTGCCCTTCTGGTCTAGGAGGCGGCAGGAACAGAAAGAAACTTCACTTCCTACAGGAGCTGCGATTGCCAGCGGGCCTCGCAACTCCTCCTCCCCAGAAGCGAAGGTAAGGCAAGCCGGCACGATGGCTGTCACACCGGGCGATGCCAGGGCGGCTTCGTGGAGTGGCAATGCGGCGCCCTGAGTTTCTTATGCAGCCCGTCGCGAGGGGCTTGTGGGGCATGCCTGCTGGGAGTGCAAAGGCGGCAGCCCTCCCGGAGGTCAGAGGCCAGGCCCTTTCAACACAGGCACGAATCTTGTACCCCCCAACCCTCTGACCAACTTCTCTGGAACAGCGCTTTCCAAATCGCCCCGGCACGCCTAGATTCATGTGCTTTAGATTCACGAAGGCAGTGTCCCTTCAGCACAGCTGACAAGGTGATGCCCGTCCACCCTGCTGCACTCCTCCATAGGTCCTCTATGCCCACCGGAGCGCCTGGTGCCACGGGGCAAGACTTCCGCCATCCTGGGCAGCCAGAGCCCACTGCTAGACCCACTGCGGAGCCGATGCCCCTCTTTCCAGCAGAAGCAGGGAAGGAGCCTGTGAGCCCTTACTGATGCATGTGCCACTGCCCCATGCCCAAGTACAGCCAGCAGGACTCGTATGAGGGCACTGAAACCTGGAAAGAGGGTGGGCCTGAGTGCTCAACCCTGATGCTGCTCAACCCCACAAAGCTGCTTCTCCAGTAAGGCCCGACTCAGGGCAGCAGCTTCCCTTCACGAAGCTTTGTACCAGCCGAGGTTGGTGGTGCGTTCTCCCTCCGGGCTGCTGTGTGCATCCCCTGCTTTTGCATCGAATGCCACCCGAACCAGAGATGGAGGAGGTTGCTGCCCACGGCTGGGAATGGTGAGCAGCTCCGACGCGCTGGCGGCTGCTGCGGGTGCCGGAGCTGCTCTCGCTCTTAGGGGCAGGGGCTCACCAGGCTCACCGAGGCCGGTGCAAGCAAAGAGCCTGTGATTCAAGGCTCTTTCCCACCCTCTAGTGATGGAAGGGAGGTAGTTCCTCATCCAGGCAAAACAGGTCCTTCCTGGACGGGGATGGGAGTCACCTGGCGAAGAGGGCTTGGGAAGACTGTAGGATTTCTGTGCACTGAGCAATGCAGCAACCCCACTTCCCTCCTATGCACATCTCAAGGGTGCGCCAACCTGATATCAAGAACCAGCACCTTCCTCCAACCCCTCCTCTCAAAGCAACACCGATGGCATGGAAGAGCCAGACAGAGGATGGAAAGGAGTCATCCCCTCGTTGCCTGCAGGGCCCCTACAATTGCTGAACCTGGAGAAGACCAAGCAGTGGGAGGGACTGGTTGATGCACGGCCCACCTCGAGACACCCTGTGCAGAGCAGATGAGGGGCCTGTCCCAGCAATGGCAACGTCTAGCACCCAGATACAAGGGCGCACAGAGACCAGCTCCACAAGCCTGGAGCAAGGCGTAGCCTGGCTGGTCCCTGTTCCAAGCAGTCATGCTCAAGGACGGACCGACAGCTGACTGGACCAAAAAAAGCCAAAAGGTCCACCTGAGCCTAGTGCCCCATGAGGCTGGCACAGTTGAGGTTCATCAGCTTCTCCAGCCAGCCTGGACTCTACAACTGAATGCCAGGTACCGACCGGGGACGGCCTTGGCAAAGCTGGACCTTGTGGCTCTGGGACCCCACAGCCGCTGCTGCCAGTGCCTGGAGGGTCCACACCAACTTCTTGGGGGGCTTTGATATTTGTGACATAGATAATGAGTGGCTCCATGGAGACTCCCAGATGCAGCCAGGACGTGGGCACAGCTGCCATGACCTCGTGCAAGGCTGTGGCAATGCCAAGGTCACGGGTCCCCTTGCACTGCCAAGCTGCAGTTGCCTATGGAGAAACTTGCCCGGTGGCTCAGCCAGTCCCTAGGCTACCTAATGCCCTCCCCCAGCCCCCCAATACCGCAGCAATGCATCCAGCACCAAATGCCAGTCTCTAAAGCAGCAACTCCATGAGCTGGCAGCAGTAGCAAACTCTGATCCCCAAAACAAGCAGCCCTCTAAGAGAAAGCAATCCTTTCCCGGTTTGTTGCTCCTCTGCAACCCTGCTCCATTCCTACACCAACATCCCCTCAGTCTCTGCAGCGGTCAGGGTGGATGGAGGATTGTTCGCGGGAGGGAGCCAGGAGCGGGCGTTTGCCGTAGAAATCCCATGCAGCAGACAGACAGAGCCTGCCTGGATTTGCCCTGCTCACGCCCAGCTCACCCGGTGACCAAGTAGTGTGGTGGCGACAGAGTGGATCCGACACGAACAGCGTGGCATGAATAAGTGATGAGCCTGTTAACCAGGAGGCCCTTGCTCTCCTCTTGCGACCTCTCATCGCTTGCTGGGGAAGGTGGGCTGAGCGCTGCGGGGAAACACAGGAGGCAATCGAGGGGAAAGAAGGTGGCACCCTCATGGAGAAGAGGTCCAGATGCCCAGGCAGTGGGATCACCCATCATTTGACTCATCCATCCATGCTGGGCATGGCAGAGAACCCCCTCAGGCTTCCCTGCACACAGGGGATCCTTCCCTTATGTCAGGAAGAAACACCCTTCTCTTTGGGGCAAACCAAAATGGGCCCCTTGGATGCACCTCCCTGTATCACTTGCACAGCATCAGGGTTTCCAGGACTCGTGGCCGCTTCATGCCAATGAGCAGCACACACTGCCCGGCTGCGCCCTGGGCTGGGCCACAGACAGACCGAAGGCCTTGGGATGCAGCGCTGGCATCCATACGAGCCCCTTCGACAGCACTGGAGCAACCTCTGCCTCTGGAAGGAGGCCGTGTGACATGAAGCTTTGCAGGTCCGTGGCAACAGCTGGCTCCACGGGGCCAGGGGACCATCGCCAACTCTCCCACATCGCCAGCTGAAATGCAGAAGCCGAAACAACGACGTCTCATGCCTGAGCATCAAGCAGCATCACTTCGGGCTTCTAGCATAGCCGAGAGGGCTCCGACTGGCGGGCCAACGTAGGTTAAAGGGGATCTCTGAAGAGTGAGCAGCAGCACGCTGGTGTCTGGGTGGCTTATACCAAACAGGGTGAGAGGTCAGCGGTCTTGCACTTCTTCCACGCAGATCCCTGGGAGATGCAGCCGCAGCCCTCCGGCAGCGCTGGCCCAGTGTCGCTGCTTTGCAGGATGAAGCACCATACTCCCAAGACCTCACCTGGCTTCAGCAAAACGGTCACATGCACTTGGAGCCAGGAAAAAAAAAAAAATGAATCTAACCAAGACACAGGCAGGAGCTTGTGTATGTTATCCCCGAAAGGCCTTTGGAGTGGTGGGGGGCATCTGCTTCATTTATAAAGTCAAAGAGGTGAGCCCTCAGCCCACCAGCATGGAGATCTCCAGGCACGTCCCAAGAAAGGGATAGGCTTTCCTAATTCATTGGACTTTGCAAAGCAGAAACTGTAGACCGCCCACAAAGCTCCCTCACCAAACCAGCAACAGGCGCAGCCGAAGGGGCGCCGGAGCGATGCTTTAACTGCCAAGCTAGATGGGACCAGCCCGTGTGTGGGACCCAGGATGAACCATACAGGTTACATGCAATGCTTTCCTGTGGGTGAAGGAGCATCTAGCTTGGCAGGCACAAAGCAACTGGGAACAGGAGCCAAAAATAGGCAGCTGAGAGGAGAAACCCATCCTTGTCCCCCTATCTGTTTCCCCGCCCTTCAGCAATTACGGGCAACATGTTGTCAACAGGAGGGAAGGGGCACAGCACGTAATGGCACGGTTGAAATCCATCCGCCTCCCGAGGAGCCGGCTCCTGGAGAAAAGCAAAGTCCAACAGCAGGGGAGAGACAGGGAGTAAATTGAGATGTCACGAGGCAAAGGAGAGGAGCGATAAGTAGAGATGGAGCCGCCGGCATGCTGCGCGCGGCGCCTACCCCTTTCACCTGCTAGGGAGAGCACCCTGTGGACGCATGCGTGTGTTCACACTCACCCGTGGGCACCCGCTGGCCCGGGAGATGGCTTTGCCGCCTCTGCCCCTCTAATTAAAACCCACAAATGCCACGTCAGGAGCTCATTAAAACCCTCAATGCACTGCTACGCTGAGTCGAAGCTGCACATGAAGACCCGGTGGTAACCCCGGGTCGGCAGTGAAGATGCAGCGAATCCGGCTCCTTTGTGCAGGGCTGGCTGGTACAGCCGTGCGGACACCTCCAAGAGATGGCTCAGACTATTTGCTACCCACGGCCCAGTACACGCAAGACCCGATCCCCCTTCCCGAATCGCACCGAGAGGGAAATTCTCACCCAGGCAGCAGGACTCACTCAGCATCCTCCTCTAAGGCCTGAGCCACACAGGATAAGAGCCCAGGACAAATGCCCATCGGATGGCCCTAGTCTCTTAGCTCACTGTGCAGAGTTCAAGCCCTTGACATAGGAGGCTGCCAGGTTTGATCCCTGGCAGTCACTGAGCCCCTATTTTGAAGGCTTGCCTATTGCCTAGACCTGCCAAGAAGCGAACTTCACCCAGAAATTGCCCTGGTACCAGGCTCAGTGCACTTACCTGCGCCTGGCCCAGGATCTGGCACATCTTGGTCATTGAAGCTGTTTCTCCCATTTCTGGGAGGAAAGCAAATGGGATTCAGACAGCTGCCCGAAGGCCGCGGCACCTTTCGCATGTTTTGGCAGCCCTTGAAGAGCGCACCAGGCCAACATCATCTCACAGGCTTGAATGGCTCCTAACGAAGGGCCGTTGCTCTACAACGTACAGAGGGAAAGCGTAAGAGCCATCCAGTTGGGTTCCTTAGTAGACAACTGGTGTCTTCTCTGCCAGACCATCAATAGGAAATTAGCTTTCCTTCTCAAATAGGATTTCATTTTTGCAGCTGCTATGAAGCCTAAAGTCAAGCCAATTCTCAATGGCTAATTAGTGTCTTTTTTTTTTTTTTTTTTTTTTGGCAACAGCTAGAAATAAAAGTTATTTAAAAATGAAAGAACCCACATGGAAATAAAGTTGGACGAACCTTCCCCGAGGTGGGTGCGGGGCACGTTTGGACTTACCTGCCCCTCGGTCGAATTGGTGATGGGTTGGTCTCCTTGTGACGGCCACCTTGGAGGCCTCCATAGGATGCCCATTTCCCCCCTGTAGGACTGCACATGGATGCCACACAACCATTGTGGTCAACCCAATGGCAATTACAATCTGAAAAACAACAGGCTGCAAATCCCGCCTGCACCCTTGGGATATTATGCTAGCTGCTATGGCACACGGGATAATTACTATCCCCGCGGCAGCAGCATCTGAGGTCCTCACAACCCAAATTTCTCTTTTGGCAAAGCACCCCTGTATGTCAGGGCAATGCTCTTTCCCCCGTTCTGGAGATGAAGTGCAGGGAGACTAAGGAAGGTACCCAAGGAAGATGCCTAAAGTCACACAGAGACTGATCACATCGTGGGCAACGAGGCGAAGAGCTACAAAAGGCCACGCTGCAGGTACAGCAAGAGTTAGAAGGACGTACTGGCCCTGTGCCCCACACTGCTAGGACAAGGGAGGCAAGACATCAACCTGCAAGTCCCCACCTCATCCCAGATCCGCGGAGAAGAGACCACAGACAGACCCGGTGAGTCCCAAATGCAGTAACAGTCCCCCGCCCACGCACCGCACCCGCTCTCACCGCTGTTCTTGGCATAGGCAGCTACAATCCCATTCTGCAGGCCAGCAAACAGGTAGTCGGGGCTGTGCTTCAGGCAGAGGACGGGCTGCCGCCCCGGGCTTTTGCAGGTCAGCAAGCACTGAGTCCCCGTATCCACGCTTCCATACACCATGATGCTGAGGTCAAGGAGGAGAGGAGAGGTAAGCACAGCGGTGACACGCAGCTGGGAGCATGCGTACACACGGAGGCCTGGCTTTCCGGCCGCTGAGAGCTCAGCCCCGTTGCATCCACCGTGCAGCAGCTCGGAGGTGGAACCAGGGATCCGGCTGCAGAAAGCAGGCTCCCCATAGACCACCAGGCTGGACTCCTCATATTTCTGTCCCATCCACCAGCTCTGTGATGTGCATAATGTGGGACAGCAGAAGCCACTGCACAGCTCCTCCATGCAACATGGCTTGGATTTAGCCTAGAGCATGCATCCCTCTGGGGTACAGGCTGGGGAGGTGGTGGGGAAGGGACTCACCTGGCTGACCTGGAGAAGAGGCAGCTCTGGCATGGTAACATGGTCCCCCCAACACCACACCCCCACACCCCCAGTAAGTCAGCTGTGTCCTGCTGGCCAAGGCTCACAAAACCCAGCTCCTAAAGGAGACTCTTGGGGTCTGAGACCCTTCAGCCTAGAGGGGAAGAAGCTGGATTCTGGGGGCCAACCAGCGCCAGCTCCAGGGAGACACCTGCCTCTCCAGCAGAGGACAAAGCCGAGACGGGCAGTGCCGCCCACCCCGCAGCTCACCTGCCATCCTGAAGCCCCAGGCAGATGGTGGGGTGCAGAGCGGAGGCCTGCTCAGCAGTCGCTTGTGAATCCTCAGTTTTCTCCTGCTCCTCCCCGCTCTTTTCCGGGATGTATTCTATGCAGAGCACCTGGGAGGCCACGGGGAAGGACTTCACTGTGCGTGGCACTGATCGGTTGAGGGAGAAGATCTCCACCTGGCCTCCTGCTCCTTCTTGGCCTCCCCCAACCTGCAGAGACACGGGACACTTTTACATGTCAACCCTCACCAGCTGGACCGTGCCCCATATACCCCCATGCCTCCATCTCCAGTGCAGACAAGGTGCCTGGGTTTCCCCACTGATGCTGTCACAGGGTAGAGGCAGACATGACCTCCACGCTGGGCAGATCCACCTCCTGGGTGGAGATGGAGACATGCGAGCCGCTTGGGCCATCTCATGGACAGTCCTCCCTTCCTCAGAAATGTCCTCTGCTGCCCCAGAAATGCCTGGGGGTGATGCAGGCTGGAAGTAATGCAAGGGGTGATGTGGCCAGGCCCTGGGGGTAATGCAGAAATGCCTGGGGGTGATGCAGGCTGGAAGTAATGCAAGGGGTGACGTGGCCAGGCCCTGGGGGTAATGCAGAAATGCCTGGGGGTGATGCAGCCAGGCTGCCTGCTTTATGCTACCTGGGGGCCAGACGGGATGCTTGAAATCTGCAAGCTGCACCTCCCTCCAAACAGTGGAAGTGCCTTTTTCCCCACGCCCCAGAAGAGCTGGGCAGCGCCCAGGGGTTCATTAGCTGCTCTTAGAGATGCTGAAACACAGTCCAGCTTCAGCATCTTATTTCTGTGCAAGGGACCAAAAAGCCACGGTATCCTGGGAGACGTGCTGGAGGCAGGTGGACCAATTCAGCCCGTACTCACCCACAGGTAGCCCTGCGGCAGGGAGGTGCTGACAGCAGAGAAGCCCAGCAGCGAAGACTGGACGGGATTGTGCACCACGGCTCCAAGCTAGGAGAGAGACAGACGGGGTGCTCTCAGAGCTGGGTTGGGAAGAGCATTGTGAACGCACAAAGATCCCTGATGGTGGAGGAGACTCTCCACCTGCTTCCTTGCTGGCCAGACCATTCGAGTGGGGTTGCTATTGGTGCTATCTAAGCCCACAGACAGCAAAAGGAGACCGTCTTCTACACGCTGCAATCCACCAGCTGCTCCCATTTCCCCCAGACCTCCCAGCACTACCAGCTCCGGCCTGCAAAGTCTCAATTGCCACTGAAACGGTCACCTGCCTGCTCCCATCACAGGGATTTGGGGAGAGCCCAAAGCCAGCTCCGTGTACGGGTGCTTAATGCTCTCGGTGCAATCCAAGGCTTTTTGGGGAGAGTGAAGTAGGGGAAAGAGCTGCACCGTGGCGCACATCGCAAAGCCAGGCTTGGATCTCAGTTGTATTTTGCAATCTGGTGCCATCTTCTGTTGAGACGAGCTATGCCCACCAGCTGCCCTGCGAGGTAGGCCGGTATCTTTAGCAACAGATGGAGGAACAGAGGCAGGCCGGTGAAGGGTTTAGGGTCTACACAGGAACCAACTGCACTCACCAGCTTCCGCTATTGGGAAAATCGTCCCCAAAGCGATGTGGTCACCGCAAGCAGGTGGCAGTCCTGGCCCAGAAGCCCCGACATGGGGGGCAGGTGAACCTCCTCCTTTAGTAAAGCTGCAGCTGAGGGAAGGAGCTTTTCAGAGCCCCAAAGAGACACCTTGCAGATGGATTACACTTGAAAGCAATTGCTTCATGGGATCATAGGAAAGTCAGGCTGGACGGGACCTCGAGGGGTCTAGTCCAACCACTGGATCAAGGCAGGATCCTCCCTCACTACACCAGCCCGGACAAGTGTCTCTCCCACCTGCTTTGGAAAGTTTTTAAGTACGGAGATTCCCCCTCTTCTCTAGGCAGCCTGCTCGAGGTGCTGGACCACTCTTTGTTTCCTACAAAACCCGACAGTAGGAGTTGCACCCAGCCCTGGCTCCCAGCTCTAACCACTGGGCTGCTTTCCCTTCTGCGAAACCGAGTCCAGCTCCTGAAATAGGTGATGAGGTAGTGGCTGTTGATAGCAGCAGCTGTCGGAGCTAATTTGCTTGATTTAATCAAGATAAACGTGGATTTTTCCTGGCTCCCTTAGACTGCAGATTCAGGGATCTGAATACACCTACGGGAGGGCGAACCTCTTCCCCCTCTTAACCTCAACGAGAAGGGCTTGAAGGGGGGGAGGAAGGGGCAGTCAGGACCTAGCCCACTGGCCCTCTCCCGTAGTCAGGTGCTCTCCGTACCTCGGACTACAGCAACATCAGCTAAAGACGCGACACGGGGAGGCAGACGGAGCTGTTTCGACCTGTCTGATCATAGTCATAACAATCATGAAATGTCCTGTAATTTGGGCATATTACAGGACAAATTTGGGCATATTTAGAGAAGCCAGGATGTACTCAGCTAATCTACCCTGGGCTGATGCAGGTGTCTTCGATGGGAATGGGTGCAGAGGGTCCCACAAGCAGCAAAGCCCCCCAGGGCAGGGGCTGGCCGTGCCTCGTGACAGGGCACTGGGTGATGTGGGCCCTCGTCTCCAGCCAGCCCTTAAGGGCAGGGAGCAGAGGAAGCCCCGCCTGCCCACCCCACAGGGGCGAATCTCTACCCCCCGGCAGGACAAGGGCTTTTCCCTACAGAAATGCAGCGGTGACCCTGCCACAACCCTACCCCCTCTCTCAAGCCCCCCATCTCCAGCACAGCCCTTCCCAAAAGCACTGGAGACAGCTGTCGACCTCCCCATGAACACGTTTGGGCAGTCACCGCGCTACGACCCAGCCACCACCCTCCTCCCATGGCTTCGGGCTTTGGTCGGAAACGGGGTCACCCCCAAAACCAAGCCGAGGAAGATGGGGACATGTTGCCTAAAGTGACAGAGAGCAGGGGACAGCCCGGAAACCCATCTACTTGGCACGTCCACCTAGGCCTGCTCAGATGTCCAAGCAAGCAACACGCCTCCGAGGCTGCCCTCCAAGAGCGCAGGGCAACGGGCAGCAGTCCCTCTTCCCCTGTTACCGCAGCCTGCGCCGGTGGCATTTAGACCCGCTCCGCTGCAGCGTGCGAGTTAACAACCACCCTGTGCAGTCACTCACGGGGGCTCTTTACAGCCTTGTTTTTGTTTTAATTTACTGGCGTTATTTATTCATTCGACGGCTCTGGGGCTCAGCCCATCTGTTTGGGATTCACGCGCTAAGTCTCTCCCTAAGAGCGTGGGAGCAGTCGTATCAAGCGGTGAATCCAGCGCCCGGGACAAGGGTAGGAGGCCGTGCAGGGCAGAGATCCTCAACCAGGGTGTCCCTACCTTGCCCATCCCGCACCCCTGTGGCCCAGCCCCTTTGCCAGGAGGCAAGCACTATGATGGTCGTTGAAATGGGGTGCAGCTCAGGTCCCAAAGGTGCTTCGAGTCTATCGAGCGGTGCCCCCAGTCCCAAAAGATTGAGAGCCACTGGTGTAGAGATACCAAGGGAGTGTATGGGGGGGGGAAGGGGCAAAACAGATGGTAAAAGATGGAGAATTCAAAGCTTTCACATACAGTCATTTTCCCAGTATACCCCTGGGGATGTATGGATGCCCTGGCACTGGGAACAGTGCCGCCAACTACGGGTAGATCAGAGCAAAACTCCCTACACTGCACGGGTGGAAAAACCTGCTCTCATGGAGGCCACGTGCAAGGACAGGCGGGGAGAGAGGGGCCTGGAGGGCCTGGCCCGAGTCCGGCGAGGATCGGGAAAGTTTACGGCTTTGAAAGGAAGAGCCGGGAGACTCTTGCCCCCGGGGCCCTGGGCAGGCATTTGAAGGTGAAGGACGCCGCAAATGCCCCGCTGACACTGCGGGGACAGGCGGGTGGCGGAGGGAAGCACATTCCCCCATCAAAGGAACTTTGTAGATTAACAATAATATGCGAACAAAGGCGTTTGACTCTTCCAGCTGGTGCCCTTATTAGCATTGTAGAAAAACAACCGCGCAGCATCAAAGAGCAGCATCTACGGTGGAGCTGAGGAGAAAGCAAAAGCGCCAGCAAAAAAGGAAAAAGAAGAAACCCAGCCCTGGTCTCCCCAGAGAGCCACTCGCTGCCATTTGGTCTAATTAGACAAAACGGCAACGAGGGCAACAGAAGGAACCTGCTCCTTCTCCGCCGGCAGGAGGGGGAAGGGAGCCGAGCGCGGCACAGCCGGCAGCCCAGTTGCATCACATCTGTTACCGTCAGTAATTGGATGAAACCCTGGCATTGAAAAGCCCCAATTCATCCCGCTGATGGCGAGCTGATTGCATTACAGCCGTAACGAAAGGCAACGGAGTGGTCTGGTAGGAAGGGAGTGAGCCGGGGGTGCGTGGGGACCACATCATCCCCGGGAGCCAGGCCACGACCTGGCACTGCGCTGGCCGAGGGGTCAGGACATATTCAGGACTCCTCCTGGGTTCAGCTCTGTGCAGGGACGAGATGCACCCACTTCAGGGAGTTAACTGGCTCATCAGCTCAAGCTGCTTTGAAGTCCCGGGACACAAGCACACGATTAGCCCCGCGTTGCAGACAGGGTGCCTCGCACTGAGGCTCCAAGCCGCTCACGCCAAGGCGCCAATGGCTGGCTCTGCCCTGGATGCCTCGGTGCACCCCAGGCAAGAGCCTCTGCTATGTCCTTCTTTGGAAATGGGGACCTGCAAGGCCTGCAGCATCCAGGACGAGCACAAGAGGCAGCAGAGGAGGACCGGGACCCTGCCTGGGATCCATCACCGGGGCTATTCTGGAGCAGTTCAACTCCAGGAGCATTGGTCACATGCAACATCAGCTTGACAACTACCCCCCGGGTGACACCACGGCTCTCGGGAAAGCTTTGCTGCTATCTTCATCCCCATGGGCATGCCTAGCACCCCAGCCAAGCTCAGGGCCCCGCTGTGCTCGGTGCTGTACAGCCCTTGCAGCAAAGGGATCGCAGCCCAACCGAGCAAGGGGTGGAGCAGAGGGAAATGAACTGCTGTTATTTCCAGTCGGGGGAAGTGATCAGAGGGATGCAGCGAGGTGCCCAGGGTCATTCTACCATGCAGAGGTTATGTGCTATTTGAGTAAGCAGCTCAAAACGAGCGGGCCGAACTACCCAGGGCAGGTTTTTGTGACAAGTTTCTCAGGCAGTTGGCGCCTCGCAGGCTTCAGAGATGCCCCTTACTCCACCTTCCTTTCTGCTGATCACGAGAGACCGCGAGAGCTGGCCGCCCCTCTATCTCCAGTGACCTGCTGCAGGCAGGGCAATCAGATAAATCCCCCAGGCCCAATAAGCCTGCCACCACCTTCTTTTCCCCTTAATGCCTTAGGATACAAAGTCTTCAGTCTTACATGGTTTTCAGTCTTAGGGTCTCCAAAAGCTATGTGGAAACCCTCCATCTGGTTGTCAACGCTAAGGAAACTTCTCCTCTACAGTAGGCTACCCAGCAAAGAGAAGCACCAGGAAGATAAAGAACAAAAATAAAACGCATTCATCCAGGACAGCCCAAGTTGCAACAGCATCTCCATAGCCAGGGGCTCTTACCTGCAGGTCGAGGGCTTTGGAGGAGAAGGCAGGCATGCGGCACGCGAGGATAGGACACCAGAAGGGAGCTTTGGTTTTCTTGTCTTCGTCAGGGCACAGCCACCCAGGCTGGTTCTCATCCCCTGGAGGCAAGCAAAGCAAAGGGAAGAAGTTACCGGCTTTGCAGGGCAAATCTGCTCCCAGCTCGCTCTCCCCAAAGCACACCCTGCAAGCAGGATGCTCTTGGTAAGTGCTAGGGGTGGGCTTTACCCATTTCTGTAGGAGACGAGACAACCTGCCCACTGCTTAAGGAGTCGGGATGTGCCCCATGCCTGGCCAGTAGGATTTGGATTTTCAAAGCCTTCCTCCCACTCAAGGTTGGGATGCTCAGCTCTGGTCCAAAGGCTTTCAGAGTCTTACTGCCTTGCCAAAAACAGCATCTGTATCCTGACTGTGCCCCTGTGCTGGGCTAAGCCTCGTTTCGCACACGAGGACAATACAGCAGAGAGAGGTGCGGTGACCTGCGCGCAGCCAGCATGCAACACGAGAGGGATTTCAAACCAGGACGCGGGCCTCCAGCTGAGGCTGGCATCACTGAGGGTATTTTAGGACTGCCTGAATATTGAGGCGCCTGCTATAAAGAGAGCCAGAGAGAACGGACATCCTCTCTCCTGGCTAGCAGGACCAGGCCCTGCGGGCGGTCATGGGTGGTTTGCCCAGGACACCCTCTCAATGTGCTACAGGATGGCAGTTTCGCCCATCACAGTTCTCACTTAATCCATCTCCTGGTGAGAAAAGCCAGGCACGATGGGGAGTTGCATGTTCCCCAGATTGTGCCTTGCTGCCCCCAGCTCCAAGACCTTTAAAAGTGACAGTAAATGGCTCCCTCCTGCTCGCTGATGTTGGCACATCAAAACCAGCCTCCTCCACAATGCTGGGGTGCAAGCAGCCAACCAAGAGCATCACAGCCACTGCCCTTCCAGCCCCGTCTTAAAGTCTCCAGATCAGAAACTCCTCCCTATCAAGCAAAGTCACCTCCAAGACAAACCCAGTCAAGTTGGTTCAACTTCTTCTGGTTTCCCCTAAGTCAGGGGTGTGGGATTCAGGCATCACGACAGACTGGCCCTCTCTGCATCCCTAGACCTTGACCATCAGATAGATAAATCCCTGCTGCCCCAGTGGACTTCTTTCCCCCCGCCAAGAGCTGAGTTCAGACACCCTCTTTCCAAGGTTGGAGTATCTGTGCCTTGCTATTAAGCTACAATAAACATGCCCAAAGGAGCCTGAGCTGGAGCTGGCTCTTCCCCAGCGGGTTTAGGGGCCCCTGTAAAGCGCAGCTCTGTTCCTAGTAACTTTATTGATCTGGGGAAGCAAATTAAGTGCAATGAAGGAACTGCTGGGAGGACGATCGTTAACGAGGCTGCTGTTATGTCTTAATCAAACTACTTAATTAAACTGTGTGCAGAAGAGTGAGCGGAGGGGAACTCATGCCTTCCTGCCCAAAGATGATGGGTCCTGTCGCATCTTTTTCCCCATGTGTCGATCGACTGGGACCCGGCACAGCAGAGGAGCGAGCCTGAGACTCCGTGCTTGTGGAGGTCAGCGGGCAACAAGCGCCCATGATGACAGGCCTCAAGGAGGGGACAACCCACTCCAGGACACCAGATACGCTCGGCTGAGAAATCAGGGTCTGGAGACCCAGAAGGTCTCTGCAGCTTCCGACCCCATGGAGGAAATCCCGGGAGGGCAACAGGTCTTGATCCTCCTCTTCCCGGCACAGCATGGCTTCCCGTCAGACACTGCCCAGCGAGTTAAAACAACACACAACGGGGCCTTTCCACCAGCCTTTGCTGTCCAGTCTTGCTTCTCTCCTTTCCATGCAATTCCTCCCAGCTCCACGAACTCAGCACCGGTGCCTAAGACGAGACGTCCTGCCCCGGGGTGCTCTCCAGTGCCTGCCGACTTAAGGAGGGCCTCCCCATATCACGGGGGTAGACATCAGCACAAAGCCCCCAAAATGGAGAGACCCCCACAAAGGAAACAGTCCTCCTGTCAATGCAGTCCAACAGTGGGAACCACTGCCACTGGCATGGGGGTGGGGGGAAAAAATTTTAAAAATCAGTTGCCTCCAATTTAATTGCGCTGCTCGGAGCTCTTTCAAGGGTGAAAAGCAACAGGCCCAAAGCACCCGGTGCCCGATCCTCTTCCAAATTAAGTGCAAAAGGTGGCTGGGTCACTCTCCCCTTCAAGTTTGAGGGTCAGATGATGGCATGTTATAAAAGCAGATGCACGAATAGATTTTCAAGGGCCGGGATAGGGTAAAAGAGAATTGCATTTCAGCATCTAAGTCCACTTAGACACCCAACAGCTGGAATAAAAATCTGGCCTGTGGAGATAACTTGCAACTACTTCCACAGCTCCTAAGAGGGGGTTAAAGCCATCCTAGCAGCAGCGAACGCTAGTCCCGAGTGCAGAAGAGGAGGAGGAGGAGGAGGAGTGATGCTGCGTGTTTATCCTCTCACGGATGTGCGGCACCTCACTGCAGTGCACAAGAAACAATTCAATAAAAAAAATAAAAATAAAGCATTTCTTCACATTAGGCTTTAATGCGTTTTTATTTCTAACTCGTGGTTACAAGACAGTCCCCCAGGCATCCCAGATAAAAAAAACCAAACTGTTAAAAACAAGAGAATAATAATAAATAAAAAAAAAAGTCGTTCCAGCCTGAGGGAATCCGGGCATTCAAATAAGATTTCAAATGAATTTTTTCTTCCATTAAACTTTTCTTTTTTTTTTTTTTGCTGCAGTGGCTTATGGAGTTAAATAGAAATAAAGATAAGAAGGGCTGGAAGCGTCATGAGGGAGCTCGGCACAGACAGGGGATCAGCGAACGGAGGGAAGCTGAGGATGCCTGCAACAAATTCACCTGCTTTCCACCCCCCGCACCCCTCCGCCCCTAATGAAAAGATCAGAGGGTCGCCGTGCTCTGAAAAGCAGCTCTAACAATGACATTGTGGGGTTATGCATCCGCTCGCAGCTAACTTCCAGAGGGGCGTGCTCCCTGCTGCAAGATGAGAGAGGAGTTTCAAACAGCCTCTTCCGCAAGAGGCGTCTCCACCTTGAAGCCCAAGATTAGCCAAAGGCATTTCAAAAGCAAGCCATGAGCCTCTTTTTTTTTTTGTGGGGGGGAACCCCAGCTTGAGACCCCCATAAATAAAGATCTTGCAGCCAAGCACCCACTCACCGAAGAGCAGGGACTCGAAGGATGCTCAGGCTTGGGCTTTGGGCACCCCAAACCAGTAGCAGCTCTTAAAAATCTTGCCCATGACAGATGCCTTCTGCTTCCAATGGCAATATCACCGGTCAAGACTGACGCGTTGCAACACAAGGTGTCGGAGGCCTCTGCTGTGCAGTTGTAGGCAGACACGGTTCTTTGGGTCCAGCTACGTAGTTGGAAAAATTGTTCTTTGCAAGCTTTCGGGCACAAACACCCTTCTGCGGGCGCATGCCGCGCCAGACACAATTTTCCCAACTATTTAGTTGGTTTAATAAAAGCTAATCACATCTACCCAAAACACCTGGTCTGCCTGTGTCCTTAGGCCATCACGGCTACGACCAACAACCCCCCTGCATACAACGAGAGTCACCCACGCTCAAGAAAGATGACATGAAACTGGAGCAGGTGCAGAGAAGGGCTAAGCAAGTCAATCAGGGGAAACAGAGAGCTGGTCTCATATGAGGAAACTAAGAGAGCTTGGCTCTTTTGGCCTAGCAAAATGAAAGCTGAGAGGGGAGAGGCGATACGACTGCTGCCTAGAAATAGACTGTGGGCAGTACGCGTCAGGGAGGGAGGAGAGCTATTTAAGATAAAGGACAACGGTAGTGCAAGAACAAATGGGTATTAGCAGGCCAACAATAACCGCAGGCTGGAGCCTGCCTTGTTGATGCAAGCAGTTATATGGGGCATGCAGTTGTAGCCATGTTGGTCTAAGGACGTAAGCAGACAAGGTTCTTTGGTTAAATCTTTTAACTTTTATTAGACCAACTAAAACAGTTGGAAAAAAGTCTTCTTTGCAAGCTTTTGGGTATAAATACCCTACGTCAGGCTGAGGAAGCATCCGCAGTTGCTGCGTGCTCTTCCCGGGTGTAACGAATAGTCCTCGGGCTTCTTTACTATTCATTCCACCCAGGAAGAGCACACAACGCTTCCTCAGCCTGACAAAGGGTATTTATACCCGAAAGCTTGCAAAGAAGAACATCTCCAACTATTTGAGTTGCTCTAATAAAAGATACCAGAGGTTATATAAAGTGGTTGGTTGCAAAAGCAGACGCTGGACTCATGGTCTGCTCCCAGCTCCAGGGCCGCACAGGAGTTTGTCTCCATCCCATGGTTTCAAACAAGTTGCTGAGCGGGGCAAACAGCTGCTAGTGGTGAATCAGCTTTGTGGAGCCAAGCCACAACGTGGGGAAAAAAGGAAGTTGCGAGTCTGGGGACTAGAGCTGAAAGCAAGCAAGAGGATACCGGGTTTTTGCTCCTCGACCTCACCGCGTCATTAAAAGCCCTGCTCATGCTTCAGTTGTTCAGGAGGAGAACAACCCAGTGCCAGTCTAGTAGCACTCCTTCCCACCAACATGACCTTTGCCATCCTGCATGAGCCCAATCCTAAGATGCTCCATTAGTTTCAAAGGATGTCCCAAGCTCGTCTTCCCTTCCCTTGCAAGGAAAGTTGAGGCTGCAATGTACCCCAAAACTCAGGCCCAAGCAATGCGAACTATAAGGAAGTTCTGAGCTGGGCCTGAAGTTTGGTTTGTCTCAAACACCACGATCCAACGAACATGCCATGCTTTGCAGGGAACACCTGTCTTTCATAGGGTACTTCATCCCATCCCCAGACCTTCCCTTCTCGGGTCTGCAGCTTTCAAGAAGCTATCCCCTGCAACATGCCTCTACATAGCATCCCCATACTTACAACTATGGTACACTGGATGTCACATGAGAAACTGGTAGGGTCCAAAGCCGAACATCCCCCTCCTTCTCCTACAGTCTGATTTTTCAGGAGGGTTTAGCTTCATTTAGGTGCCAAAAGAAAGTGCCCAGATTTTCAAAAACAAACTCAGCGTAGCTCACAATAGCAGCTGGTACGCATCAAGTTCTTTAGGAAGATCTGCCCTGAACAGTGGGCCAAGCATTACAGTATCTAACCCCGAGCTCTTTGGAAAACCTGGGACCATTTTTAGTCTTGCCCTTGCCATCCTTGTCTTTGCATGGAGTTACTGCTGACAGAGCAGTTGCCAACGGGGCCTTTCCAAAGACGGCATCACAAAGCATCAGTGCAGAGACACAGCTCAGTCTGCAGAACGACACGTGGACAACTATTTTGTAGCCAGGACTTCCAGCACGAGTAGGAGATGACAGCTGAAGGTGACCACAGTAGAAAACAGCCAAGTAATGTGCTGGGAGGCATCTTTTCCCCCTCCCCACCACGTCCCTCTTAGCCAAGGACTTGGGGATGTCTGCATTGTGTGCACATCGCTTGCTCTAGGCCAGGAAAGTTTGCAGAAGGAAAGCTACCAGAGGCCTCCTGCGTGACGATAAGAACCAGGCAATTTCCTTAACATTCGGGGCAAACTTGCAGTTTCCGAAAGCCCCAGGCGATAATAGCTGCTGTTATTTATTTCACTCATTTCCAGGGTGCTGATGATTGTGGCTGCTACGCAATTTAATTACGCGAAATTAATACCAAGCAAAGAGGGATCTCAGATGCGTCTCGCCCTGAAGGTCAATGTCAGAGCCATGCTTGGCAGGAAAATCATAGAAAATGGGGGTGGGAAGGGAGCTCAGGATGTCATGTCTAGTCCACCTCCCTGCTCCAAGCAGGACCAGCCCCAGCTACATCATCTCAGCCAGGGTTTTGTCAAGCCAGGCTTTAAAAACCTCCAAGAATGGAGGGAAGAGGTAGGCAGATGCAAACATGGCCAAGAGTAAGTCCATCTATAGGGTACAGGCACCCAAAGTGTGCCCCAGAGACTAAAAGGAGGTCCTCTGTCGACATGCAGTCCCTGCTACTTGCACTTGGCCACAGGAACAAGGGCAATGCTTCATCAGTCCAACTGGTCCAGTCTCCCACCTTCCAACCAACTGATACCACCTCCTCCGGGGGATGCTGCACAGTCTTCAAGAGAGATGGAGAAACAGGGAGAGCTAAGTTGGCTTGGGTCTCACCCCTCAAGGGGTTCAAATGGGGCTCCTGGTGGAAAGGAGCACCAAGAAGCAGCGAGTCCAAGAGATGGGCAAGTGAAGACACCGGCCATGCCCAGACATGATGCAACATGCCAGGGTTTCAGAGAGCTCCTGCTTCACCACAGCCATCGTCCGCTTTTCTTCCGCGCGTCGACGTCTCAACATAAACCCCCAGCTGCTCTGAGTTACATAGCCTGGACCGCATGGCTCTCTTAAAAGCTGCCTGTTTTTATAGCGGGAAGAGCCCTGACGGCACGTCGGGAGCTCCAGAAAGCAGTGCCCTTGGAGTTGTGACCCCCCCACACTCTCCCCCACCCTGTGAAATCTCCCTTCAGAAACCCACATTCATCAGCAGGACCATGGTCCCTGCAGCGCCCACCCGCGCAGCTCTGGAGAAACAGGGGAGGAGGAAGAGAAGCCGAGAGACTCGAAGCAGCCGACTCTTTGCAGCCCTTATGGAAGGGGGCTTCCTTCCAGCCACTTCCCAATGTTATGGGGCTCCCTGGCTCCTCAGCCCAACCTTTGCATTTCAGCACTAAAACGCGGAGCTGTAGGAGCAAAAAAAAGCTTTTAAGATGCTGCTTTTATAGCATGGGGACGCAAGTCGCAGCAAACAGCTCGGCTGCACCTTCCCCTCGATGCTGATGTAGTGAGATGGGCTGCGAGAAGGGGAAAGCCATCTCCCCACAAGCTCCCCATCACGGCTGCTTCCTGTGCTGTGGGGAGAGCACGGCACAGGCTCACGGTTGGGTCTTAACTGCTCCTCCAAGAGAAGAGGGCTGCGGTGACAGGCAGCCGAGCCTCCATTTAAAACAAACATGACGGGGGAGAGGGCCCTTGTGTTCAAATGCCTGCTGTGCAGTAAAACCAAATATACACAGAAAAAGCAAGCCGCAGGGATGCTGTTTAATTAATCCCTAATGAAGCAATAAGAAGGAGAGAAGCAGCAGCAGCTCCCAGGGCCTCAAAGGCAAGTAAAAGTTACCCTGAAATGGGAAGAGGCCTCTTTGCAGCAACATGCCTGCCGTATAAAATGCAGCAGGCCAGACTTCGCGACACCAGCCCACCTTGCAAACTGAAGGCAAAGAGTCCAGCCAGCCCTTCCCAACCTCCAACCTCCCTGCCTTTGCACTGAAGGGATGCAGCCGCCCGTGCACACGGGGGTACTCACGGAGCCCAAGCTTTGCCAGGTGCAGGCGGTTGACCCAGGAGATCTTGCTGACGGGGTTTGGCGTGATGAAGACCACCATGAAGCTGATGGGGCGGCCAGACCTGCAGCAGAAGGAAGCCGAGCCGGGAGTCAGAAATCAGCTCCGTTTTGCATTTCAGGGAAAGACCACCCACCACTGCCTCAAGCTGCCCAGGCCACCTGCAGAGGAGCACAACCCCCAGCCCTTGGGGTTGCCAAAAGCAGGTCTCACTCAGCTCCCTCCATCAGCATTCAACAGCTGAGGCAGGAGCTGGTTTTTGGGCCACGAGATCCAGGCTCTGCAGAGCACAGGGACTGGAGGGGACTTGACCTAACAGTGCCTGATTAGCGCATGCGACCAGGGCACCCAAGAGGCCCAATAGCTACCAAAGCTGCCTTGGCCCCGTGTCCTTCTCCCCTGACCGGGTACAGGAATATCCCCCGAACCAGGAACCTGTCACAACAGCCACGTGCCAGGAGGGCTGTGGCCTGACTCCGGCTGCCCTGGACTAGACACCTGTGCAAGCCCTTGGGGTAAAAGTGCACAGACTCCCAGCACCTGAGACCCTAACCCCTGGGACTGGTCAAAGCATTGGGGCATATAGAAGGGGGCAGTTCTGTACTGGGCTGTCTGGAGTGACCAGTAGGCCTCCCCCATGAGACACGCCCGCTCTGTCCAAGGGGACGCGAGAGCAAGCTCACTTGTCCGGCTTCCCAGGAAGCAGGAGGCGGAGGCGGCACTTGTTGGCAGAGTGGATCTCCTCCTCCTTCACTCTCATCATCCTCTGCAAGGCCAAGCACCAGTCCTGGGCCACCGTCATGTTCAGATTCTGCACGCGAGAGGGGGAGAAAGGAGACGGCTGAGACCCCGGGCATTGCACAGCTAGTCGTGCACGGCACCCCTGCCAGCATCCTTCCAATCTCCTCCTGAGCAGAGGCATGGCTGCCACCGGGGCCAGAAAGCCCAGCGCATCCTGCAGAGAAGCCAGTGCCCAACCACTTGAGGACAAGCAAGAGGTCTCTGCTCCCCAGCTGCAGACAAGGCACAGCAATGGTCCGCTGGTGGGATCTGCATTACATCAGAAAAAACAGCTGCCGCTAACCAAGGTCGACTGCTCCAAGGTTAGATGCTTCAGATTGGAAATGGCGCAGGTTTCCCCAAGTAACCAGCCTCCGCTAGCTTCCCCTCGGCCTGGCTGGGGTAGCTCGTCTCCGAGTCACAAGCTAGTCTGCGGTTTGCTGAGCATGGAGAAGTGAACAGGAAATGACTGTTTCTCTCTGCGTTCCCACCGGGCTGGCAGGAAACCGGTTTAACGTGCCAAGCTCAAGCAGCCCATGACGGAGAGAAGAGACATCGTTACCTGGTAGGTGCCGTGCAGGGTGCTGATGAGCTGGGTGATCTGCTCCACCACCGCCAGATCCTTCTGCAAGTCTTGGAGCTCCTGGAAGAGCCGTGGAGGCCCAAGATACACCTTATCTTGAGAGGAAAGACATGCATTAGAAAGCAGAGAAGGAGCTAGCAGGTTCCTTCGCTGATCTTTTACCTTGGAAGACTTGCATTTAAATCCCACAAGGAAAGGAGAGTCTGCCCCATGCCCACTGTGCAATAGGTGCTAGAGGCCAGCGCTCGGCTACTCAGGGTCAGAGTACGGGGGAAAGTTTGCACAGACTCCACCATCACCACTTCGTGCCATCCTCTCTGCAAGCCCACAACTTAACGATGAGCTAGAGCACATCTGGTCAGTCAGGGCCGGATGTATTCCTAAGCGCTGCAGCGCTGGAGGATCCCTAGGTGGGATTTGCTTAGGGGAGATGAATGCACCGTGATGGCGGCTTCTCATGGGACAACCACTGCTCTCAATGATGCCTCCAACTCTATAAGCATCCAGGCCTGAGGTGCCTGGGAAAGAAGCAGAAGGTGGCCCATATGCCTCTGGTTTAAGTACAGGAAGGGAGAGTGCAGCAAATCGGTGAAGCCAACAAAAACCCAGATAAGGAAAGGCTCCAGGCTCCGGTGTTTTGCTCCGAGAAGAGACAAACCGCACTTTCAGCGTGAATGCACCGATCGAAACCAAAGTCACAGAAGCTTGCCCAATATTGCTACACAGAGGAATCCCCCTGTCATAGGCAAAGTGAAAGCAAAAGGCACATGCAATTGTTATCCGTCCTGAGCACAGCCAGCCTCCGAACCGAAAGAAATGCTGGGGAGCAAGCAGGAGGTCTCCCTTGTTTGGGGGGGATTAGGGTCTCCCCTTGCCAGCCCACAGATAGCACTGACTAAACTAGACAATGCTGGGAGCTGCTGAGCAATTTGCTGCAGAAATCAATTTAGCATCCATTGGGTGCTGCTCAGAGATGAGCACAGGAGTCCTAAAGCAATGAGGAGGAAAGGGAGAGGAACCCCCTCAATGGCTAATGCCACCTTCTTTGGCACCATATTCCAGCATCAGGGTCCAATTCAGCGGCCAAGTGACCCAGCACCGAGTAAGACCCGAATAACCCACCCCAACTGCACTCCCCCGCTCGAGCCAAAGGACCAACGCCGCTGGACGCCAGCAGTAGTAGGTCCTTGTCTTCTGCAAAACGGCTCTTAGAGGGATGCAGCGCACCCAGCTGGCACGTTACACGCCCATCCCATGCAAGCGACCCGAGCCATCACTCACTGTGGGAGGACTGGCTGGTCGGCACGTGCTTTTTAGCCCCCGCGTTCTGGATGACGACGTTGTCCTTGTCGTACGTGCTGTTCTCCTGCCCGACCTCCACCACCTGCACCTGGGGCAGGGCCGTGTTCCACTTCACCACGTACTTCGGGCCCAAGGGGACGAGGCTGCTGATCTCCAGCTGGCCTCTGCGGAGAGGAAGTATTCGTTAGCACAGGTAAAGCAAGGCTCCTTCACCTCGCCATCACCAGGGCCCGCAGCAGTCGTGCCAGGAGCACGTCTAGGTTAAACACGCCAAAACAGAAGCGAACCCCGCTCCGAGGCCGTGCACCCCAGCACCCAGACTCGGGCAGTTCATCCACCACACTAATCGACACCCCCGCACACCTGGGGCAAAAAGACCACGCCATGTGCTTGGCCTACCTTGTATTCACAGGCCTAAGGAAGAGAGAAGGTTAAACAAGAGTCATTACTACAAGCACTCACGAGTTTTCAGCTCATCTCCCTCCTCACCCAGATCTGTCTACAACCCCTCTGCTCTTCAGAAGGAAAACCTGGTCCTGCCAGGCTGGAAGCCCCAGGTTTTAATCCTGGGACTGCTCTGCATTAAGTCCTAGGCCTGCTTTAGTAGGAGCATTGCCAGCGGATCGAGGGAAGCGATTACTCCCCTCTATTCGGCACTGGGGAGGCCACATCTGGAGTCCTGTGTCCAGCTGTGGACACATCGGAGAGAGTCCAATGGAGGGCAATGAAAATGGCTCAGGGGCTGGAGCACAGGACTTATAAGGAGAAGGAAGTGGGTTTACTTAGTCTGCAGAAGAGACAGAGGGGATTGAATAGCAGCCTTCAACTCCCTGCAGGGGGGCTGCAAACAGGATGGAGCTGAACTGTCCTCAGTGGGGGCAGATGGCAGGACAAGGAGCAATGGGCTCAAGCTGCAGCAAGGGAGGTTGAGGTTGGACATTAGGAAAAACTGGAGGGTAGTAAAGCACTGGAACAAGTTACCAGAGAGGTGCAAATCTCCATCCTTGGAGGTTTTTAAGGCCCAGCTCAACAAAAGCCCTGGCTGGGATGATCTAGTTGGTCCTGCTTGGAGCAGGGGGTTGGACTAGATGTGACCTCCTACGGTCCCTCCCAACCCTCATTTTCTCCATTTCTGTGATTCCGAGTCCCCTAAATCAAAAGTTTTCCAACCTAAAATGAGCTTCAGTGGTGCCTCAGGATTTAGGCCACTCAAATGCCTGACCTGAAGCAGCTGACACTGAAAAGTTGTTTTTCGTGGGTTTTTTTTTTTTTTTTTACCTAAAACAAATTTGCTTCAGTTTATTACTATGCACCAGCAGCCTCTAGCCACCACATTTCCTTAATCCCAGGAGACGGACCAGGGACTGGGACAATAATAGGCAAAATAAGGAGATTAGGTTACCAATCATGATTGACTGGTGCCCAGGGCTATGTTCTGCAATGATTCGATGCATTGGGATGCAGGCGCAGCTCTGCAGCACTAGCACAGGAAGGGCACAGGGAGGCTGGTTAGCCCAGGTCCCTGGGGAAGCCCAGGTGGCTGCAGGCTGCTTCAGTGCTGGGCGGTTGGAGGTTAACACCACCAGGCCAGGCCACCGTATTCATACAGCCCCTGGGTAACTTGCTGGGCCTGGCAAAGTTTAATCAAACCTGTATCTTAAAGTCCACCCATGGCTGCACATGGTGCAAGCTCTTGGAGTGACACCAGGGATCAATTCGGCTCTCCAGAATGACCGAAGAGAAAAATGTCAACTCTCAGCACAGTAGTTGCTGAACTGCCCTGCATAGACAAGACCGGTATGGCAATCTGGAAAGGTTTGGATCAGGTGGATCCTGCCTTTGGCAGAGGCTAGCCATGGAGCCCCACTTCTCTGGGATGCTATGAGTGGTCTTCTTGGGCTTTCCGGTTTCTTTTTGTTATGCAGCTGCAATCCCAAATCCTAGCAGGGACTACATGAGGGATACGTGCAACCCCGAGCAGTTTGGTTCACCCTCCCAGGGGAAGGGAAAGCTGCTCACGTACTTGAAGTTGATGTTGGCGCACACCAGCATGTCGTTTAGCAGGAACACCTTGCGCTCCTTCGACTTGATCAGCTGGCCGCGGTCCCCATAAACAGTCTCCGTCAGCGTCTCGCAAAGCAGCAGCTGGCGCTGCCCCGAATTCAGCAGCTGCAGAGGGAGGGGAAGAGAGAAGGGCTTGACCGGAGAAGAGAGAGGTGGGTACAGCCTGAGGATGACCGCAACGACTGCGTGTGCAATCAGTGCAACAGGCCTGGCCCGTTAGCAGAGAACAGGGCATCTCTCAGCTCAAGAGGCAGCGGCCTGGATTTACAGAGCAGAGCTCCAAGTTTGATCCCAGCTGACACCATGCGGCTCTGATGAGGTCCCTGTATCCCCCTGGGTTTCTTACAGCAATTATTTCCTTCCACACCAGGAGTTTCATCTAATGGGACTCTCCAGCTGCAGCGTGCCAAGACGCAGCGTGGCAGAGCCAGGTTCAAACGCAACCTCTTAACTTCACTCCTTGCTCACGACATCTCTGGACCGAGATGTAGACTGGAAAGTTGGAAGGAGACGATGTCAAGCTCCCGTGCCGCACAGACACCCACGTAAGCTCGGGTACTAGCAGTCCAGTGCTCCCCATGCAAGCTCCTTCACCCAGCACTGAGGATGTGCCCTTCCTCGCTGCCTGGCTACTAGGATGCAGAAGCAGCAAGAGCATTGCCCTGCCAGATGTTGCCTCCTTCATTCCCAGCCAACAGCAAGAGCCAGAGAGGAAGCAATAGCTGCAAGAAAGAGGGCAAGCACAGGATGCCAGAGAGATGGCACTAGGATATGGAGGTAGACCTGGGCTCTCCTCTGACACTTCTGCCACCGATGGCCGCACGGCCTTGGGGAAGTCCCCTCTCCTCCTCGACTCATCGTCTCGCCTACATGAGCTGCCATCTCCTGTGAGCCGGGGCTGAAGAGCACCGTGCTCAGCTCAGCAGGGCCCACGCTCCCTCCAACTTCTGGGTGCTCATATAGGAAACTCTGGGGCTCTGTAACCCTCAGCAGCCCATGCCTGGGTGAGGCCTCCATCGAGTCAGAGATTCAAACCTAAACCCCCACCCCCAGCAGAGTCCCCAGTAACAGCTCCTCCTCCCACACCTGGCAGGATCAGGCCCTTTGCCTTGATTTTTCACCATTTTCCTTCAGAAGGGCTCTATCCCAACGCTGGGTGTTTTGCAAACGCTGCATCCGGGGCCTTTCACGGGGGACGGTGAAATCCTACAGACAGGACGGCTTCTTCCTTTTCTCAGCCCCCCAAGGGGAATTCATTCTTATTGCAAGGAGCAAACGCAATGGGGAGGGGGGTTTCGGCAGGATGCTCTTGGGCGCCGTTTCCAGCTGCCCCCTCTCCCTCTGAGAAACAAGAGGCTGAAAGTCCATCCACACACCCACTTGAAGCGGCCCAGCACAAGTCGCTTGGTTGAAAGGTTGAAGGGCCTGCCTGCTGCTCTGCCCAGCTTTATTTGAACCTCGGCTGCAAGGGGAGGTCGGGCTGTTGAGCGGGCCAGAAAGATCAGCCAAGGAAACCAAAAGAGCCCCCCAGACCTGAGCTCACCCAGCTGGTTTGCTGCGTCCCAGTGCCCTGCCTACTGTGCCACCAACCCTGCACCCGTGAGGCTTTCCACCTGCCACTTCCTAACACAAAGAAGCTAATCTGTGGTAGGGGCAAGAGAGGAGGGAGTGACTTGGCTGGGAATAGGGGAGTGGGGTCTTTCCTCCCCACCATGCTCCCACTCCCACACACCAGCCCAAAAGCTTAACAGACCCAACGTTGTACTTGGGCTGCTTTGGGCTCCTTTCTCTGTAGCTAAAGCAATCATAGGAAAGCAGGGCTGGACAGGACCTCACGAGATCTAGTCCAGTCTCCTGCACAAGGCAGGACCATCCCTGACACCCATCCCAGCCAAGCATCTGTCCAACCTGCTCTTGAAAGTTTCCAAGGATGGAGATTGCACAGCCTCCAAGTCAGAAACTCCTCTTTATCTCCAAACTAAATGTCCCTTGCTGCAGCTTGAGGCCGTCGCTCCTCGTCCTGGCCCTGGGTCCTGCACCCACAGAGAAAAGCCCATCTCCATCCACACTCCCCTCTGCTGGGCACTAATGCCCTACCCCATCCACCGCTCATGTTAAGCATCCTTTGAACGGTCAGGATGGAATCGGAGATCCTACAGGGGTTAGAGCCACGAAAGTGGGCCAGGCTGTCTGGTAAGTGGGTTCAGGCTCCATAAAAACGAGAACTTTTCAAACCACAGCCTGGTGTGCTTGACAGACCACGCCATCCCCTTGGCGAGCTAGCCAGCTCCCAAATCAGAGCTTTTTCTTTAAGACAGACACATCTCCATCCTTCTCCTTGGCAGGTTAGAGGGCTCCTGTGCCCGGTCCTCTTGGCAGACGGACCCTGGCAGATGGCTAGGCAGACACCCGCCATCCAAGAAAGTTTGAGAAGGCTTTAAAAAAAAAAAAGAGACAGGCTCAAGCTCCAGAGTTCATATCCTAAGCCAAACTCAGAGCGTGCATGTGAATCTGGGGGACCCAAGCCTGGGCATAGCAAAAAACAAATCAGCCCAGGGATCAATTTAGGAGTCCACACTCGGGTCCAGCGGCGGTTCAGGCTGGCAACACTGACCTCGTGGCTAGGTTGCTGACCCTAAGACAGTATCAAAAAGAAAGGCTTCTTCCATCTGGCACTACCAGGGCAGGGTGAAAGCAAGCAGGTGGCCTCATTAAAACAGAGGGCAAGCAGGAAGCAAGAAGAGAGGGGTCAGTGGACTCTCCTGGCTGCAATCCAGCCTCCCCTTTCCAGGGATGTTTTGAAGCTTCTGGGTTTGAGCCTGCAGCTTTGGTGCCGCACAGCAGCTTTCAAACAAGACGGCAGGTGCCCTTGGATACTACGGGGGCAAACAAGGCAGCTTATGCAGGGGACTGCAAGAAGGATGTTGGACGAGAAGCCGAGTTCCCATAACATGTCTGCTCCGAAATCGCCTTTAAAAAGACATGGTGGTGAGAAAACAGATGCACCCGGTCCTAGCCAGCAGCCTCTAGGAGTATACAAGACCAGGTCCTTGTCCTGGCCCTGCTGGTTTCCCACACCCCAGGCAAGCACCCTAACCACCAAGTTCACGGCTATACTGGTCTCAGCACAACTTCCGTCCCGCAGCCGGGAAGCCCTCCTGACAGAAGTGATGCTGTAATCACCACGTTCCCCCCAGAAGTTTCAGTTTCGACATATCGGCCTTTCCTGACAAAATTGCATCACTGCTAAAAATTCCCAAGCAACAATGACCGAGCAGAGCACGCGAGGTGGGTCGCAGACCAGGGATGCTGTGGCCCAAGCTTTGCAGATCCCAGGGTCTAGCATGGAAGACTTTGCCGTGGCCCTCGAAAGGGGGATTCCTCTGATTTGGGTACAGCAATCCTGGGGGTTGCCCAGGAGAGCGCACAGGGCTGTGGCTTGAAAGGGTCTCTTGCTTGCAAGCAGGCTCACCACACAGCCTGACCCAGCAAAGGCTGCGGAGGAACTGAAACACTCCCGTAACCCAGCAATGCCTCCTGGGCATTTCCGCCACAGCCCATCCCAGTGGGGATCATCTTCCGTAAAGTGTTTTTAGGTGGAATCCAGTTCCCTACAGAAATGCAGGCCGAGCTATCCTCTGCATCACCCTGGGGGGAGCGGACTGTCTTCTTGCCCTGCCCTGATGCAGAGGAGACGCAGGCAGATTGCCTAACAAGGGTGGCTTTTTTGCTGCACCTGAAACGGATGCTGAAGATGCCTCTGGAGTGAGGACAGAAGGAGGCTTGCAGCCCAAAGGTGTGTCCCGTACTTGCGCTGCGATCAGTGCATGCACAGTGTCACCTAGTGGGCAGAGCAGGGATGGGGAGGCTCATCCCAACCAGGCAGGTGCCCAGCAGGCCGTGGCGGAGAGGAGCACGCACCTTGTTCAGGCTGCTGCGATCGCTGATGCTCTTCGTCAGCTGCTGGATCTCGGCTACCTGGTCGGCCACTCGTTTCTGCTCGTTGAGCTTCTCAGCCAGGGTCTCCAGCTCGGTGAGGGCGAGTTGGAGCGACAGCCTCTCCGGGTGGCCTTTCGGCGTGTTCTTCAACATGTCCTGGAGCGACAAAAAAAAAAAAGGAGAGAGACCATCAGCATGATGGGAAGTCACCCCATCCATGCCCACCAGCACCAGTTTGGCAGGCCACGTGGAGTACAGCTGTAGGCACGTGGATTTCCAGAGGTGCTAATCGCTTGCCGCACCTCTGGGAATCAAGGCACCGGACCCCAGAGAAGCTCAGTCTGGGCTGTAAAGACTTGTGCTGGAAGAAAGCAGGGCAGATGTCCCTAACCCTGACCCTAAACCTGCCCTACTTGAGTCTCCCAGATCACCTGGCCATTACTCGGGGTGTGCTCTGCCCTTTAGCTGAGACTGCGAATGGCACCTGGATACGCTCCCACCTAACAGGCGCAACGTGCATCCCAGGGGCATCACTCAGACCAGACAGGCCCCTCACTGGGCAGCTTTGCACCTTCTAGCAGGGGGAAAAAAAAAAAAAAAAAAGACTTTGTTCTTTTGTGCTAATGAGCAGGGTGAGATGCTGCTGCCCCTCACACAAGCAGAATCCCTTTGGGATACTACAGGGACCACCTGCCTGGGAGGGAGCTGGCAGGGAAGCCAAGCAGCCCCATTCCCCTCACCTGACCTGGACAGCAAGGAACCAAGGGAGATCTGTGCAGACGGAAAGGAGCCGAGCGGACTGGCGAGCGTCCACCCCACCAGTGAAGGGAAGCCGTGCCCCCACCAGCCTTGCGGGCCGGTGCATGCCAGGGGCGGGGTGCAGTTCAGGCCAGACTTCCAGCAGCGCTCCTCAGCTGATCCAAGTCAACACAACCTCAGTGCAATGACCTCAGGAGAGGTGCCAGCATCAGAGACCCCAGAACAGCTGCCCCAAGTCCCCCCAGCCTTCAACTACCCCATTTCCCTGCCTCGTCCACGTGTCCTTCCTGCCCCTCCACGGCCCCCGTGGACCCCTCCTCAAGGAGCAGGCTCCTGTTCATGGTACCTGCAGCAGCAGAATGAACTGTGGGAACCTCTGGATGGGCTTCACCATCAGCCCGTACAGCGTGACCCGGTCTGGGCTCGACATCTGCCGCTTCTGTAGAGGTGAGAATGACCCATAACCACATGCACTTCAACCAGGATCTTTCTGAAGAGCTTCTTGAACAAAAGTCCCCTTCACCTATTACTCCCTCCCCTTCTCCACCCAACCCAGGATCTCCATGGGAGGGTCTCGGCCAGATCCTCTGGTCCTACATTTTTGTTTCTCCATCTCCTGCTTGCTCATATATAGCCTCAGTAGATGCTAAGAGCTGCAAGGACTCCTTGCACCCCCTTCACCCTGCTTTGGTCAGGTGCAAGGTTGTGCACCATTGATCAGGCCGTTTCTTTGCTTAGCTACCGGGGCTCGCAGATATAGAGCCCAAGCAGATACTGGTCTGCATGACGCATGCACTGCAAGGGGAGCACATCTGCGCAGAGAGTTGGGTGGGGGTCTGAAGAGGTCCCAGTGACCGTGGCCAAGTTGAGTGCACCATATTCAGGCACTAGTCCTGAGAAGATGCAATCAGGTGTCACAGGAGGAGGTGGCACTGAGCTGGGTGGCAAGCCTAGACCATCAGAAAGGATGATGAAGGGACCTCGCACAATTCACAGCAGTGAATGGCAACCTTTATACGCCAGCAGTATTCTGGGCACCTCCTTACCTCCTGGTGTAAGTGGAGTGTATGCTTTGCCCAGGACAGGGCTTGGACACCCAGCCCCTGCTGTAAAACCACAGGATTGATACAGAATGGGAGCTCTCCTACAGCTCGACAGTGCGGCGCTGACGCCACGGACCAGGTCAAAACCCTTGTTGAGCAATTCAGTGCAGCTGCAATAACCTGCTGCCTACAAACTGGTGAACACAGTTTCAAACTGCATCCTCACTCCACCCTGGGGATGTCCAGGAACACGCCAGCCCCAGTGACACCCGGTTACAAGTGTAATCCCGCCCAGGCAGGACCCAGCATGTTGATAGCCACCCATCATGCATCTGAAGTCTGCTATATCAAACTTGACTCCAGCCCCTCCATTCACCTTGAGGAACTCCAGGAACGCCGGCTTGGTGAGACAGGCCTTCTTGATCAGGGACATGGCGCTGGTGAAGTTATTCACATAGTCGCTGTACACATCCAGCACCATCGACTTGGAAAACTGCACCAAACCGAGGCAGGAGAGAGAGAGAGAGAGAGAGAGGGCAGAGTGAGAGCCAAGCTCCTCTACCGAGCACTCAGAGAAGAGAAAGGCCAGCCCCATCTACCTTCCCAACTCACCACACACCACCAGAAAGAGCTTGGCAGATGCCCAGTGGCCACCAGTTTGCAAACCAGTTCCCCCTACAGCATCTGCATGCAGCAAGCCCACCCAAGTACACCACTGCCATCAAGCCCGGAGTAAGAAGGGAGCTCGGGACTGCACAAGGGGGTCAGGATGCATTGCACATGGGCATCCACCTCCTCACGACACAGGACTCTGGACAGCGGGTTGGCTGGTTGCATCGAGGACTAAAAACTGTGGCTTCAGGTCCTCCACCAAGGCCTGAGCTCACTGTGACCCCGCAAAGCAGACAGCGCTCCAAAGGGGGCAGGGATGGACCGCGCCACCAGAGATGTCTATATTCGTACGACGAGTCAACCCGAGGCTCAACGGGTCTCTGGCACCTGCTCCGCGTGGGAGCCGGAGTCACAAGATGCTGACATCGAGGTTGGCATTGCACTCCCCCGTCAACAACTCCGGCCGTCCTGCTGTGCAGCGGAGCTGCCAAGTTCAAAACGGACCTGACGAGGCCTCCTCCCGTGGCCAACGGGCGCAGGGAGGCTTCACGGACGTCTCCGAGCAGACGGCGGACAAAAGTCACCCTGCTACGATGGACGTAGGAAGGGGATGCGTGTCAGGAATGGGGGGAGGCAGAGGAGGAGCTGGGATAGCTTGGCAGAGGGATGCTGAGGTTGCTCTTACCGAGGCCACAAAGAGGTCCCCGATTTTCTCGGTGGCATCCCACTCGGCCACGCGGGAGAACAGGGCGATCTGGAACATGGAGTGGCACTGCAGGATCTCCTTGAGGCGGAAGAAGACCACCTGGCACTTCCTGGCACTGAGGACCTTGGGCTCCATCTCCATGAGGGGGTTTCTGTAATCCTGCAGGCCAGGCGAGGTGGTCAGAGCAGGGCCTTCCCCCTCCTCGCCACCCCCTGCAACCCACCCAGGGCTCATCAGTGTGAAGGGTGCCTAGCTCTGCAGGTCTTTGCACCGTCTTGGCCTGGACTACATATTTCTGCTCCACATCAGTCAAATGCAAAAGTTCTGCTGTGATCCTTCTCCCAAACTTAGATGGATTTTATTAAGACCGTTTCAC